ATTAATAATAAGAAGCTTAATTATTAACAAGCATGGTGTTTAGATATAAGCTGTAAGATTTATCTAAAGGGAGATTTAGAATGAGACTTAGGTCCATTCTTGCCATGCAAACAGAATGCAGACATCAGCATTTTCCTGGAAATCTAGTTAGTTTTGACACTATGGCATCGCCTTGGAAATCCAACATTTGAAATCAAAGTCCGGCAATAAATTTATAGTAGGAGGGCCACAGGTCCAAGTTTAGTTAATATCAATCAGAGGCCTTTTAAAAGAGCAGTTTAGGTCTTACAAGCCAAATGTTCATGGCAGCTTTTGCTAATTGTAAGGTGCTAACTTTTTAGAGTTACTAAGTTTTGAATTAGGCAAATAATGTGAGTATATGGGGAGGCTCTTTGAGGGAACCTGAGAGTTCTGTTAGCCCATTACATCAGAGCATCCCAGTTTAAGAAATGAAAAACTCTGGTTTTGACTTTCATTCATAGCTGTGTTCTGTGCTCTGCTGAAGAAATAATTTGAATTACTGAAGAATACTGAGTAATCACTGGCAAAGGGAATGAAGAGTAAAAGTGTAACTTATAACATATATACTGTACAGGAGTTAGGTTAACCATCACATAACAAACATTCTCGCTTTTCACGTTTTACAACAGGCAGGGATAAAAAGTCTATTGTAAAACATTTGAAGCGAGAATATTTGCTGTGTGCTGCGTAACCTGACTCTTGACTCGTATATGTCTCAAACACACAACAGGATGCAACCAATGAAGATGTAACTTATAAATTGCAAAATTCTGGAAAGCAAGTTATTAGAGCAAAATTGGGAGTGTAGTAAATGCTTGCAAGGGACTAATCTGAGTTAAATTCATCACCAGAGCACTAATAAATGAGAGCAGGGTGTATCCAAGGTATCACTGTAGTGAGCATGCATGATCGTGCATCAACAAGGTTACAGTTGCCCTGCCAGAGAGAGGCTCAATAAGAACAGACAGAAAAAGTTGGGCTTTACCCTGACACCCAACATAGCTAGTCATGTTGTTTGCATCTATGAATTTGTAATCACCCTAGTGATTACTGACATTCACACTATTCCTTCTGCCTTCCTGATACATAGTTTAACATAAAGAAAAGGGAAGGCAGTTAAAGATGTAGCAATTCACCTTTAAAGAATCACTATAGCTGGAACTTTAGCGTCCATTTGTCAATATCAATCTAAATTGTAACACTTGTTTTACACTTAAATAAATTCTTTAACACTTAACACTACATGTTTCGGCCTCAAAGGGCCATCTTCAGGTGTTTTATTACAGATATTCAATCAAGACCTGAAGATGGCCCTTTGAGGCCGAAACATGTAGTGTTAAGTGTTAAAGAATATATTGAAGTGTAAAACAAGTGTTGCAATTTAGACGGATATAGACAAATGGACGCTTATGTGAACAATTACAACGGGATGCTGAAATACAGAATCATAGCTGGAACTACTAATGTAGAACTAGTAAAGAACTATCACAGCAGGAGTCCAACACATGGCGACAGAGACTAGTGACCACCACGCCTCCGCACTCATTATCTCAACCAAAGAACTACTGAAGTAAGTCCCCAGCTTACACAGTTTGGATAGTTCGAGATAAGAGTAATATGTACTCACACAATAGAAACATATCCAGTACTGAAGACCATGAAGCTGAAATACCCTTACTTTACTTTACTTTACTTATGTTTCCGTATATCTACGGATTCATATAACTCATATTTGCATCATTTGGGGATACACTGTATATAGAAATGGTTGCATTATTTTGCCTTGAAAGCTGTTTCAATAGATTCACATAAGAGGATGTTATGTTATTTTAATGAAACAAGTTATGAAACCACAAATGACAAAATAAAGTGTTGTTCTTACTGCGTACATAGAGTTTTACATATTTTACAGATATCACTGTCGAAGTTTCTTTCAGCTTCCAGAAATGTCTGCCTTTGATTTGCAGAATTAGCATCCAGACATATTTCTTTCTGAGAGAGGGGCTTCCAGTGCCTACATCCTGTTGCTGTGTTCAGTTTTCTTCTGCACACTTAACCTACTCCACTGCCAATGTAATGAAACAGTTTACAGAAAATTAAATTAAAAAATTTTGTACTATATTATATTTTCTACCTGTACATGATGAAAACATGTATGAAGTGTGGAAATTAAACACATTTCAGAGAAATCTCTCTATCACACACACACACACACACATACTGAGCCATGGGCTCTTTCCCCGGCGGTAAAGTGGCTGGGACGTGAAGTTCACTATTCACCTACATTTAGTGCCGATGTCAAAAATGGTGGAGCTGTACTTCCGCCATCCCATATGTTCTCATGGCATACTGCTTGAGCAATTAAGCAGAGGGACAACCATTTAGCTAGTCACTGTAACCCTCCAATCCCAAATGAACCGCCGACAAAGTCACAGAAGAGACGCCCTCATAGTAGAAGCAGAACTCAACGCCCAGATTACACGGAACATGAAGAAGAAGAGGGACGCTCTGAGGCTTGAAACAGAGGAGCTCAGGGCCCAATGTGAACACATTGGTGAACTGAAAGAGCAATTGTACTTTTTAATGCAAAAATGCTGCAAGATAACAGATGAAAGAGACGCTTTGGTATCAAAAGCCCAAAGTATGGAAGCGAGTGGAGATGTTTTAAAGAGGGAGAGAAACACCCTAAAACTCGAAACAAGGAAGCTCCGAGCCCAGGGTGAGAAACCTGCACTTTTGGAAGAAGAATTAAAGGATGTAAAAGTGCAGCTTGCCTTCATCGCGAAAGAGAGAGACTCTTTCCAGCAGAGGTACCGACGCTCAGAAAAGGACTGTAAATCCATGAAGAAGATTATAGAGGGCCTGAAACTTGAAGCAGAAGAGCTCCGTAAAAAGAACGAGAGTAATGCTCTTCTGGAAAAGCAATTAACCGCTGCAAGACGCCAGTGCGATGCTGTAACAAAAGAGAGAAACGCTTTCATTTTAAAGGCCCAGCAAGTAACCCAGACTAAAGGGACCCTACAGATGAAAATGAATGCTCTCAAAGTCGAAGTCGAAGATCTTCGATCAAAAAGTAACGATAGACAGTTACAGCAAGACGAACTGAGCGCTCTAAGACGGCTTTGCGACGACATGGAAAGAGACAGAGACTTCTACAAATTAGAAGCCAGACGGGCAGCAGAGACTAGGGTCGCCCAGACCAAAGTCATAGACGCCATGAAATTGAAAATAGAGAATCTCCATGTCCAGTGCAAAAAGAGTTCGCTACTGGAAAAGCAATTAAGCGTCGCAGACCAGCAGTGGGATAATATGAGGAAAGAGAGAAACGCTTTCATACTGAGGGCCCAAAAAGCAGAACGCAGTAGGGCGAACATACAGATGGAGAGGGATGTTCTCAAACTGGAAGTAAAAAATCTTAGATCCAAGATTAACGATGTACATGAAAACGTTACTAAACGTTGCAAGTGAAGACTGCAACAACATCGTAAAACGAGAGATTCTTCAATTCTCGAAGTCAACCAGATGAGAATGGATATAGAGCCCACAGAGGACTCCGACGAAACTGCTCTACTGGAAGAGCAATTAAAAGTTGTAAGAGAAGACTACGACAAAATCGCGAAAAAATTTCTTCAATTCTCGAAGTCCAACAGATGGGAACGGACATAGAGCCCACAGAGGACTTCGACGAAACTGCTCTACTGTTAGAGGCATTAAAAGTTCTAAGAGAAGACTGCGACAACCTGGCGAAAGAGAGGAGGGAGTCAACGACGCTGCGCTGCTGGATAAGCCGAGGATCTAATCCAGGGCAATGACTCCGCGTTACTGGAAGTGAAATTAAAGGCTGCAACACAACCTTTGGGCAACATAAAAATTTGGGTATTCTTTTTAATACTGCAGTCCAAAGTACGACAGCGGATATGAACTGAACATTGTAAGACGGCTTTGCGACAAAATCAAAAGAGAGAGAGAGACTTCTACAAATCAGAAGCCAGATGGACAGCAGAGAATAGGGTCGCCCAGAACAAAGTCATAGACGCCCTGAAATTGAAAATAGAGGATCTCCACGTCCAGTGCAAAAAGAGTTCGCTACTGGAAATGGAATTGAAATTTGTAAGAGAGGAGTGTGAAGATAAAAAAAAAAGTTCTAAAGCTTACAAGCGAAAACCTTCGACTTCAGAGTAAGGATGTTATGGCCCAGGTAACAGTGCAGCGCCACGAACTGAGGGAAGAGACAGCCGTTCATTTTATGCTCATTCTATTTAGCGCTGTTTCCTGGCAATATGCCCCTTATGAAGAGCCGCAGAACGCTCCAGAGTCTTAGTGATCGATACCTGAAATCGAGCTTGTGGCGGCAACATACATCAAGGCAAGAAGAACAATAACCAACAAAACTGCATTAACTATGGCATATGGGTAAAAAAATTGTCGCTTAACTCTTTAAACACGACTCCATGAAATCGTATGGAGGCATGGATGTACAGATCCACTAATTCTTGAAATCGGCAATTGGAGGTGAGTGGTTACCTTCAAGCCTCGGCTACTTCATCCTCAGAGGAAGAACCTAGATAGCCATTGGATAGGAAGCAGGCTGGGCCTCAGAAACGGTCTGGACAGTGTCAGATTATCCTTCAATCTTCAGTGCGCCATCTATTCCTTCTACGGCCTCTGTATCCGCTGTCGTACTTTGGACAACAGTATTATAGAGTACCCACATTTTTATGTTCCCCACGGTTGTGTTGCAGAATTAAATTTCTCTTCCAGTAACGCGGGGTCATTGCCCTGGATTAGATCCTCGGCTTATCCAGCAGCGCAGAGTCGTGGACCCCCTCCTCCCTTTCGCGAGGTTGTCACAGTCTCCTCTTAGAACTTTTAATGCCTCTTACAGTAGAGCAGCTTCGTTGAAGTCCTCTGTGGCCTCTATATCCGTTCCCATCTGTTGGACTATGAGAACTGAAGAATCTCTCTTTTTGCGATGTCACAGTCTTCACTTGTAACGTTTAGTTGCTGTCCCTGTACAGCCTTTTGAGACGCTGGGTTCACGTTATTTCTCTTGCATTTTCGTAAGCGTCCCTATTCTTCCGCATGACCTCACTATTCGCTGCTGTGGTTTGCGCTCTAGGTATGAAAGGGTTTCTCTCTTCTTTCATATTTTGGCACTGGTGTCTTGTGGCGTTTAATTGTTAATCTTGGATCTAAGATTTTTTATTTCAAGTTTGAGAGCATCCCTCTCCATCTGTATGTTCGCTCTACTGCGTTCTGCTTTTTTGGGCCTTCAGTATGAAAGCGTTTCTCTCTTTTCTCATATTGTCCCACTGCTGGTCTGCGGTGTTTAATAGCTTTTCCAGTAGCGAACTCTTTTTGCACTGGACGTGGAGATCCTCTATTTTCAATTTCAGGGCGTCTATGACTTTGGTCTGGGCGACCCTAGTCTCTGCTGCCCGTCTGGCTTCTAATTTGTAGAAGTCTCTGTCTCTTTCCATGTCGTCGCAAAGCCGTCTTAGAGCGCTCAGTTCGTCTTGCTGTAACTGTCTTTCGTTATTTTTTGATCGAAGATCTTCGACTTCGACTTTGAGAGCATCAATTTTCATCTGTAGGGTCCCTTTAGTCTGGGTTACTTGCTGGGCCTTTAAAATGAAAGCGTTTCTCTCTTTTGTTGCAGCATCGCACTGGCGTCTTGCAGCGGTTAATTGCTTTTCCAGAAGAGCATTACTCTCGTTCTTTTTACGGAGCTCTTCTGCTTCAAGTTTCAGGCCCTCTATAATCTTATTCATGGATTTAGAGTCCTTTTCTGAGCGTCGGTACCTCTGCTGGAAAGAGTCTCTCTCTTTCGCGATGAAGGCAAGCTGCACTTTTACATCCTTTAATTCTTCTTCCAAAAGTGCAGCTTTCTCACCCTGGGCTCGGAGCTTCCTTGTTTCGAGTTTTAGGGCGTTTCTCTCCCTCTTTAACACATCTCCATTCGCTTCCATACTTTGGGCTTTCGATATCCAAGCGTCTCTTTCATCTGTCATCTTGCGGCATTTTTGCATTAAAATGTGCAACTGATCTTTCAGTTCACCAATGTGTTCACATTGGGCCTTGAGCTCCTCTGTTTCATGCCTCAGAGCGTCCCTCTCCCTCTTCAAATTCCGTGCAATCTGGGCATTGAGTTCTGCTTCTACTATGAGAGCGTCCCTCTCTTCTGTGACTTTATCGGCATGAGATTTCAGGGCCCAAGTATCCCTACACTGGTCTCGGAGTTCATCAATTTCTCGTTGTTGTGCGTCCCTCTCACGCTTTAGGGCCTCTATTTCGCCTGCCATGCACTTTCCTGTGCAAAGAATCGGCGATCCTCTGTCTTGAGCCATTCCAGATTTTATGGTATTGTTCACGTCAGTCCCACCTTCATCTACCTCGTCCTCTTCCCCTGAAGAGGAAGCGCCTGAGTACCTTGAATCCAATTCCATATTTTGAAGACCAGCTCCTGTGCGGCGCTGTGAATAGTCGCCCTGTAAATAATTTCACAAAACACATCAGCGGCCTACAAAGACTGGCATTATCTCATCTTCAGAGGTTATGAATTGACCTACAAAAAATATACAGTAGTGCCATAGGGGCAGACACTTTGCTGGATGTTACATAAAATTAATAAAACAGGATTCTCCCTTGTGAATGTGAAATGGACTACACCTCCTCTTTGTAAGTTCCCTGTCTTTGGACCTATCAGGATAGGTATTCTGAAAAATTACTTAGCTGTTCTATTTGTAATGAGTAAAGCCCATGATAACGAAACTTGTACAAGTGTGTACCTCCAACTTGCATTACGCTGCTCAAAGGCAGACTTAAATTTTGTTAAATGTATTGAACAGAAATTTATATTTTTAATTTAATTTGTAAGTTAAAATGGCTAAACATGACTAAACACGTTACAGTAAATTAGTATTTATATATGCCACAATATTATGATATATAGCAGGGACGAGCTTCTTATATCTGCCACCCTCTCAATTTGCTCGCCGTTATCGAACAGCTTTTCAAGTTGCTGTTCCTTTTTTCAATTTCCCACCTACCTGCTCACTTCCTGGATCTCCTACAACATTTCCTTGTGATAAATAACCTCCCATTGCTAACAAATTAAATTACTTCTCTTAGCTTGAAAATAAACTGATTTCTGCTTTGAAAGCCAAGAATACAATCTCCGGCCACTATCGGAGCAACGAGAATAACGTCTGTTCACTTCGAAATAAATTCGCAATATGGAGTGCGAAGAGTGAAGACGTCACTATATAAGCTAGTCATTCGTTACTAGGATACGCTTAGAGAAAACAGTGTACAGTTGTAACCACTGTTGAGAGAGGTAACCTAGCAACGAATAATGAAATCTGACTGAGAAGACGTATTGTTGAGATCGAATATACTGTATAGCTGTAACCATTGTTGAGAGCGATAACCTTGCAACGAATAGAGAAAGCCGACTGAAGAATAATTAGTTTCTTTTAGAATATAATAATTAATTTAGTTTTCTATTGAAACTGCAAAACAAATGATAAACTACCTTTCTGTGAGGCGGCCGGCACATGGACAGCACCGGGACTAGGTCGTAATATAGACCCACAGCAACAGGTAACGCAATAGCAATTCACAGACCCAGGACTACCATACCCATTTCAACAAACCAGCTACATTATGATGCCCTTGGACCAAACAACAATTAACAGAACCCCATCAACAAGTAATAACAAAAACAAAACACTAGTTGAGACATACATAAGAACAAACTACATTTAGCAGTGAGTATTGGGAAGGAAGAGATCGAACCATACCACAGAAACTACAAAGAAAGGATATCCCTTTCTTTTTGACACCCAAACAATATAGGAAGCGCTCAGAGGAGGATTTGCAATCAACTGAGGCAAATGAAATAGTCATGAACACTAAAAGTAAACAACCAGGAGAACCTAAACCACCACCAATCTATAAATGCGGGGTAACACAATACCGCGAAATGGTAAAACACCTAGCTACAAAGTTAGAAGAAGAGCAGTCTCATACGAAAAGACAAAAATAAATAAATTGTGTGTAAATACTGACTTAATGAGTCTATAAATTTATATATGCCACTATAATATCATATATAGCACTGACGAGCTTCTTAAATCTGCCATCCCCTCAATTTGCTCACCGTTATCGAACTGGTTTTCAAATTGCTGGTGTTCATGAATTTTTTACCTACCTGCTCACTTCCTGATTCTCCTAGACCATTTCCTTATGAGAAGTAACCTCCCATTGTATATAAAATGAAATAACTTCTCTTTGCTTCGAAATAAACTGGTTTCTGTCTTGTATGTCAGAACACAAACTGAGGTGTGCACCCAACCAACGAGAGAATAAGTGCATTACTGTCGAAGGAAATCAGCATCCCAGCTATGAGAGAATAACTGCATTATTTTCTAATAAAATCAGTATCCATGCAACGACATAATAAGAGCGTCATTGTCGAAGGAAATCAGTATCCATGCAACGACATAATAAGAGCATCATTGTCGAAGGAAATCAGTATCCAAGCAACGACAGAGTAACACCATTGTTTTCGAAGGAAATCAGTATCCGAGCAACGAAAAAATAACAGCATCATTGTCGAAGGAAATCAGTATCGAAGCAACGACAGAATAACAGCATTGTTTTCGAAGGAATTTACAGTGGATACCATGTTAAGAGGAAATAAGTGTTATAAATTGTATAACAAACATTTTTAGCCCACTTTCCTTAGTTTTAAAAAATAAAAGTAGGCTTATGAGAACACCTTGCTGTCTGTGTCCCCCCTCCATCAACATCTGAATGCTTGTGCCAATCTATATGAAATCTGATACATATGTCATGACACCTTAGCCAATCTCAACAGATAAATAATAATTCTGTCCCATCAATAATACAAACATTACAGCCTCTCAAACTGCTGAGCACCGTTAAGGAGGAAGCAAAATGACATGACACCTGGAAGCCAGAACAGTTGATATAGAAGAGACAGCCGTTGTTGGGCAATGTCTCCATAAACATGTTCCTACAGAAATGGATACACATGCAACAATAAAAGAACTGCTGGATGCACTGTTTCTATTCATTCCTTGGTGACGCCCACCCTCAGATTGTAGTGAAAGGAAAGCATGCAATTAGTTCTGGTCAGAACTTCTTGTCAAAGTTTAAATACAGTCAATAAATGAATGCCCACAATGCTGTATCTAGAGATTACTTATCCAAGTCTTTCACATGACCAACACCCTGCTAGGCTACATGCCAAGGACTTTGGAATTATGTCAATATGCACAATTGTATTTATTTAATAAATGATTTATATTTACCTGCAGTTAACCTAAAAATACAATAAAGGTGCATACATATCAGGTATTAAAGTTTTTAATCATCTTCCTCAAACAATAAAAAAGTTGGCTACTGATGAGAGAAGTTTTAAATCTGCATTGAAGAGGTTTTTATATCATCAATCTTTTTATTCTATGAATGAATATTATCAACATAACTGGTCATGAGTGTGTAAATTTGTAATGCATTTAATTCAGTTAATTTATGTAATCTAAATTAAATTGTATTAATTTTAAGTTTTATAGTAATGTTCTTTTTAAATTATGTTTACTAATTAAAAATTACTAAGTGCTTTTATTTTTTATTTTATTATTTATGTTAATTGACTAATGTATGTGATTTAATTATGTAACTCATGTAATTTATTATATGTATCTGGACACATCTATTCTCAAAGGGACTATTTCCACATCCTAGGTTTTTTACCTGTGTGGATATATGGAAAATAAAGGAAATGAATGAATGGCACATTAAATATCCAAATCACATGTACACATAATTCAAGCATCCAAGATGGTGACAACAGTGTGGATGAGAACGGACAAGTTGTATTGTATAAATTAACATCTGGTGCAAATCTTGAATAGCATGTGTGAGGTAAAAATATCAGATGTTGATTATGAGGTGTAAGCGTATAAATGCCATAAGTTTGGTTTACTGTAAGTTGGGAATGGCCTATAATAGAAATAATAATATGATAAGGAGAAAGTCCTACCTTGCATTTTCAAATGTCGCTGCTGGTGAGTTTCCAATAGCACCAAACCCAACCCCTACTGCAAGGCCCTCTGAAACCAAATGAGTACCAAAGGAAATCTTGGGATGTAAGAGATAGGACATATCATCTGATTGTTTCTGGAGGAACATACTGACTTTGACCCTGAAGATGGAGGCAGAAATTCCTTGGAAATGGTGGTAAATATCTATCAGTCTACATGATGTCAATGAGTGGGTATTTTTATGGCTAGTGGGGTGGGACTAAGTCCCTTTTACTGTGGCCACTTCTGGCCTATTGTACCAGCCCCAGATGATAAGTGAGGGTGATTGTGGAGCAATTGGTGGAATGAAGATTAGCAGGGGAAACTGAAGTACTCGGAGAAAACCTGCCCCAGCGCCACTTTGTCCACAACAAATCCCACGTGACCAGACCCGGGACTGAACCCAGTCCGTCATGTTGGGAAGCCAGCGACTAACCGTTTGAGCTATGGCACGGCCCAATGAGTAGGTTTGTACAGTGGTAGTGTTCTATTATTGTATTTGGGAGGTGTTTGGTTTATATATCTGGGCTGAGGATTTTCATGGGTTTTTTTAGTACCTCCAGGCTGATTCTGGGACAGTACATTGATTAGGCCACAACTGCACTGTTCCAAATCTTCATTCATTAATCATCTTATCATCCAGTGTTATAAAGTCCTCATAAAAAAAACCTCCGTGGCCTGTAGTCTGCAAGCGAACTATACCTACTGAGTGAAAGCCACTTGTCGGCAAAATTAGTGACAACTTTTGCATAGAGAGGGTGTTACGTGGTCAGCACAATGGATCCCCATGGCCGTTAATCTTCCTTTACTAGACTGCAGTTGCTATTTCCTTGAAATGGCTCCTCAGTTATCCTCACGAGGGTCAGTGGACCCTGTTGCAGACCCACTACTTCTCACAAAATGTGGTAGAGTCGGGAATCGATGACTAGACCACAGAGGCAGTCTCTGATATTCACAGTCTTGTTAAAGAACCAACTAATTAAATGTCATCATATCCCAGAATAAGGCAATGAAATCAACTGGGACTAGCACAGATATGGAATACAAATCTGATCTTTCAAGAGCTGTGTCTACATCCAAAATGTCAGAATTTTATTAAATGCATAGTGTTTCCTGGAAAGCTGGTTATGAACAGTTTTATCCTGTGGGATATAGCGCTGTGTAGTCCACTGAAAATCAACTGACGTTTCGGATGAACTTATCACCTCCCCCTTCAAAGTTGAAAAATAACCTGAGTAAGAAACAAGCACAAAAGCAGGTTTCTTGCTGAGCTCACTCTTCAACCCTGAAGATGGAGGCAACATGTTCCTCCGAAACGTCGGTTGATTTCACTGGACTATATGGCGTTATATCCCAGACAATTACATGACGAACAATTCCCTCTTTTTAAAGTGTCTAAAAGTTTATTCCCATTGTCGGAAAACCTGAAGACTGGACACGTCCAATGCGCACAATGAAGACATGTGCTCATTCAACATACTCACAGCCCATGGAACCCTCTGACAGTGTGGCTAAATCCTGAAAGCTAAAATTACACATTAGATATAGGCCACAGAAACTTCAGGACAAGAATCCCTACTGTAAGTCAATGCCAGTCCAACAGGGGGCCATGACAGTGGACTGATCCACATGACCTGACTCATACAAATGAAGATAAGGAGGAAAATTCTCAGTTTCCAAGTCGAATCTTTACACTTACCTGGTATGTTATGTACAGTAATGGCAACAATTAGTAGAACTATCCTCTTCCACCGACTCTTGTTACGATGGTTTGTAGCTATTTCATGACCTTCGTTCGCTGGATTGTAAAGTTCTTGATGTACTGAACTGTTTGCTGTTCTTCTTCTAGATACAGGATTTGAATTTGCTAGCACCTCACCAAATCCTTAAAAAAATAAAAATTCAAATCTGAGTATGATATATTCAACTTATGTTTATTTGAAAGAAATTAAGTGTTAATGGCAGTGACTTCTGGGATGTGACACTGTATAGTCTAGCACAGGCATGTCCAACTTCAAACAGGTTGTGATCGACTTTTTAGTGTCAAAACTGCCAGTGATCTACCACCCCCTCCTATCGTCATACCTCGCTTTAAGCAAAAATATTGGTAAAAATAACACGACACAGGTTTGTTGTAAAAGCAACTAGTAACTGGGCTGTGCCTCTGACGTCTGTAGATTCATCCAGTCGGAGGGAGAAAGCAACACAACTGGAAACATCTTTCAACAACTGTTCAGTTATGTTTCCACACATCATTTCTATTCGCTGCACAATGGTGTTTCTTGATAATTAAAAAGCTTGAATAGTAGCTATGATCTCCTTCTTATTTTATATTGCAAGTGAATTTACATGCTTTTCACGTGTAATTTCATTATAGGCCTTCGAACGGTCGATTGCGATCAACACGTTGGACATGCCTGGTCTAGTAGATTGTTATCAACCTGTTGCTTCCATCTTCAGGGCAGAAGGGTAAGCTCTATATGGCATATAGAGAATAGAGAGAGGGAGGATGGGACAGGGGCCTTGACAAAGACAAGAGGAGAAAGGTGAAGAGATTCAATGAGTACTGGCCTCTCTTGTCTTCACTACTTCATCTCCCACCCCACTCTCCCGTAGAAACAAAGGGCCCTTCAAAGAATGACAGTTTCCTTACTGTTGTCATATGCAGAGTGTGGGTGACTACAGACGGGGTTTGGATTGGTGAATGGATTTATTTACCACTTGTACACATGACTCATAAGCACAAGTAATCACAGTGCTAGCATTGATCAACATACTTTACAGTAGCTGTTTCCTGGTAATGGATCTTAACAATGGAGATTCTCCAGCTTCTGTGCTCCTATCATTGCCCACTGGCTAACACTCCACATCTGAACTGAAGTCATTGCTCCAGCTGTCCTTGTTATAACATCTCGGCATGGACCACAAAGAAAACACCATTCTTCTATTGTAGCGCAAGTATTTGTTGCCGCAACCAGAAAGGGCCATTGTTTATTTGCCTAGCAATGGCTCTACATGCTACACTCTGGTTCCCCCAATTTCGATCTACCTGCCATCAGTTCATTCAGAGCCATTACTACATTAGTTCTGTTAGTTTAAAATTACTGGGTGCCGGAGTTTGATTCCCTGGTCCTATGTTCCGCCATCCCGCTTAAATTACTACTCCTATGGTAGAAAACTCACTTATTGTACTTTAACATTTTAATTAAGCATACTCTGTTCCAAATGTGATCATTCACTTATTCAACTGTGCTAGTCCTTCCAGCCGCACTATGGTCCTGGGGTCAACTCAGCCTCCAACAGAAATGAGTACCAGGGATCTTCCTGGGTGTAAAGGGTGGCCGGCAAGCAAGGCAGACAACCTCGCTACCATCTGTGAGCTGACTGTCTAGAAAATTTGGTTAGCCTCAACATCTCACAAACCTATGGGCCTCCATGGCCTACTACAGGAATAGCTTTTACCTTTCTTTTTTATACCCTGTTGCCACCCCTATTTATTACTGGTCATCTGAATTTACATCAACTTTACTTCTATTCTTCCTTACCATCCTCCCATTTCTGTTTACATTTAAGCATATATATCCTTATTTTGTTCCACTGCTCCTTATTCTTACACTGCACTATCCTCCCAATACTTAATTTCTGCATAAATACTCCTATGCCTTTCATTCAACACCTTGTCCCGCCAAATATTTGTTCCTTCACACCTCAATAAGTGGCTCTCATGTTGCTCTTTGCTACATGTGGGGCAAATCCCCTGTTCACTGTGACTACTCCTCTCTACTACCACTTCCCCTGTATACAGTTGTTTATATACTGTGCCCGGAATGGCTGAGCCATAGCTCAAGCGGTTAGTCGCTGGCTTCCCACCGTGGCGGCCCAGGTTTCAACCCATGTCTGGTCAAGTGGGATTTGTGGTGGACAAAGTGGCGCTGGGGCAGGTTTTCTCCGAATACTTCGGTTTCCCCTGCCAATCTTCATTTCACCAACTGCTCCACAATCACCCTCACCTATCATCTGGGGCTGGTACAATAGGCCAGAAGTGGCCGCAGTACAAGGGACTTAGTTCCACCCCACTAGCAATAAAATAAACTGCTCTATCTAGGGACCAATATTCTTTACACAGTTCTCCTTATGCCTGTTGGTTAACGCGGGGACCCAGTTCTCACCCTCTGCTTACCTATATATGTACCATATTTTCTATACTCAGTGCATTCTTCTACCCTGAAGACGGAGACAGCAGGTTCCTCCAACTTTTTATTACACTATACATTGTAACATCTCAGAAGACACTAATCTTCAACATATATGTCACAATTAGTTATAAAATATTTTAAAACTTACCTTCAATTGTTGTTGTTTCTGTGGTTTGCATATGATGTGTGTCATAAAACAAAGGATTCCTGTCATCCTTTTCCTTATGAGACATGTCATCAGATGACAATGCTGTTAAAGAAAGTAAAGTAGATATTCAATTCATGTATGGGGTATAAGAGAACGCAGCAGTTTCTACTTCTAAGTCAACACACTGGGATAGCAAGTATAGCTCAGTCGGTATAGTGACTGGCTACAGGCTGGATGGCTGAGGGGTCAGGGTTTGAGTCCTGGTAGGGTGAAGAATATCATCTTCTCCACGTCATCCAGACTGGCTCTAGGGTCTACTCAACCTCCTATCCAATGAGTAACAGGGCCTCTTTCCCTGGGGGTAAAGCGGCCAGGGCGTGAAGCTGACCACTCACCTCCAGCTTGTGCCAAGGTCAAGAAAATGTGGATCTATACATCCATTCCCCCATATACTTTCATGACATAGTGTTTAAATAGTTAAGGACAGGGACAACTTTAACTTTAGCTTAAGGGAACACACCATGCAAACCAATCACATAAACCAATGGTTCTCAACCTTTGTGAGACCATGGCCTGGTATAATTGATGCCAGGGCTTGGTGGTTGAGAAACACTGACAAAAACCATATCTGTAAGGGAACAAATCACATAAACCATACTTATAAGTTAAACAATCACCTAAAATGAGGTTTGGTGAATGTACACCAAGTGATGAAATGAAGAAATCGGTCCCACAAACAAAAAGAGCCCCAATTAAAAATCCAAGAGCAACAGGAACAACAGCATATTGTCCATTTTGTCCATAAAGTTTTGAATCTTCAGCCATTTCTATTGCAGGAGCTAGAAGTGACCAATATGAAGCAGCGGCCATCACTCCTCCAGCAAACCCAAGACTTGTGTCAAGTAGTTTACGCTGAAATAAAAAACAGAGGCATGAGAGTCATATTGAGTTTTTCTATAGGTATAATATATATACCATACCATCTCACACAACCAATGCTCATACATAAATCTTTACAGGTTACATACAGTATCTTGACATTTACAGATGTTTGAATCCCAGAAGGTGACCATCAGCCCATACATGCACTTGCTTTAGACAAATGTGGGAACTGCCCACATTCAAGCAAGTGTGACAACGCAAACATCATGGCGTAGCAACAACGAGTAAACAACGGTTGCTAGGCAAAAGCAAGTAAACAGCGGTTGCTAGGGAACTTGTAAACACGGTAACCGGCAACAGCAGTACCTATTACGTAACCGTTTTCTATATGTCCGACTCCAGGCTACATAAGAAGACACACTGAGTTACAGTGACAGTCTAGTGCTACCGTTCTA